TATACACTACCATTTTGGAGTCAGCATTTTAATGTCTTTGAAAGAAGTATCTTATGCTCACCAAGGCCGCATTTATTTGATAAATTTTATTTTGTATGTTAAAATGTAATTTATTCCTGTGATGGCAAAGCCAAATTTTCAGCAGTGTCACATGATCCTTCAGAAATCATATTCCAGTATGCTGATTTGGCGCTTAAGCAACATTTCTAATTATTATCAATGTTGTGCTGCTGAATTGTTTTGTGAAACCTTGATACATTTGTTCAGAATCCTTTGAATGAAAGAAAGAAAATGAAACAGCATTTATTTGAGATATGATTTTTTTGTAAAACGTGACCACAAAACCAGTCACCTGTTTTTGAAATTGAGAATGTATGGTTTGTTAGGATAGGACAATATTTGGCCGAGATACAACTATTTGAAAATCTGGATTCTGAGGGTGTAAAAAAATCTAAACATTGAGAAAATCGCCTTTAAAGTTGTCCATTTATGTTCGCGATTGTGCTGCATTCACTCACAAAAATAATGTTTTATATATTTACAGTAGGAAATTTACTAAATATCTTCATGGAACATGATCTTTACTTAATATCGTAATGATTTTTGGCATAAAAGAAAAATCGATAAGTTTGACCCATACAATATATTGTTGACTATTGCCACAAATATACCCGTGCTACTTGTGACTGGTTTTGCGATCCAGTGTCACAAATAATAAATGTCTTTACTGTCATGTACTGTACTGTATGTTCATTGCATCACTACTTATAATATCATAGACAACTTCTGAGGTGTATCCAGCCCTAACTAAAAAATATTTTACAATTATATACTACACAAAAACAACCCATCAAATCAGCATAAGTCAACGAGCAACTTTTCCACTTTCAGACACCTTTAAACATCTGAAAAAGCTCTGCCTTGATACAAAAGGGGCTATTCAAGCTGGGATGTTGAAGAACAATACCCTTTAAAGGCAGACTGGGGTCAAGGAAATTCTAAATTGAAATTCCTAAAGCCTTTGGTGTTGTCAGCCACACTTACAAGTGAATTGAACACACCAGGACACTTACAGAAGAATCTGTATTGAACACACCAGGGGCCTGTTATTGAAATTAAACAAACACAAAATGAAAGCTGTTTCATGTGACATATTGACAGAGTAAGGTCCTATTAAATATGTATGTGTGTGCTTGACTATAAATGTCAGAATAACAGAACATAGCTTAGTACATAGTGAAATTACAACAACAACTGGGAAATAAAGTAATGCACTGTCAACAATATATATTTTAAAAAGTAGTAAATCACAATTAGTAAATCTAAACAATATGGCGTATTTCCGTCCTGATGTGTCTAATTTTGTGAGCTATGTTAGGTAAAGTTAATGATTGTAGTTGTAACAAATTGTTAAAGAGGACCAATTATGCCGTTTTTTGGGGGGGTCTATTAGAGTTGGTTTTAATGCTTCAATGTTCAAAAAACACCTTATTTTTCACATATTTTACATGACTGTAGCATCTCTCTTCCTGGTCTGTAACGCTCTGTCATGGTGGTCTGATTGATCGGCTGAATCAGTGTGCTGTGATTGGTCAATCGCTTCGAGTGCGTTTTGAAAATGTCATGTCTCTTACCACAACTGCGATAGATCCGGGGTGGGAAAAAAACAGCATCTCTTGGATATGGTGACAACACACTACTGATGCAACTCAACCAGGCCTCACCCCCTTTATTTTGTGTACGCTTTGGGAAGGAATTATTTAAATGAGGAAAATTGTGCCGTGTACATTCCTGGAAGAAAATGTAACACTACAATCAAGATGTTTCAGGGAGTTTAGAAACAGTGCTGATGTAGAGAATAACCTCCTTTGAAGTGGACTTTGCTTTGTAACTTTGCAGAACTTTTTCATGCTCAAACAGCAACATTCTAAAGAAAGTTGAAAATGTAAAAAAAGGATAATAGGTCCTCTTTAATGCTGGGTAGATACGGCACGATTTTCACTCGCCAACAGTTTTGTGGAAAGCGTAGATAAATGGCGTAGAAAATCTGAGGCAAATCGATGCTCGTTCACGTGAGTAACAATTGCGTAGTGTGTATTTATTATCAAAGACGTGATCTGAGTGAAGCGCCGATTTGTCGCCGATGCCCGTGAGATATTTAGCACGCACCAATCACAGCATGCTAAATATCTGGACCTGTCACTGACTGTCCTGCAGTGTGAAATGTGTTTTGACTGGAATTACATCTGTGAAGACCAACAGCCAAAGAGAGAATAAGAAAATGCAGGCGGAGCAGTCATAGACCTGCAACAGAACATCAGCAAGCATGGCTTCTGCAAGCTCTTCTTTTTTTTTTCCTGTTGTAAATCAGCACACAGGCAAATTGACATAGGTTGTAGACCAGACAGAGTTTGTCGGGGATTCTTCCTATTGAAATGTTTTTTAATGTATGACCCCCCCTGTCGCCGATCTGTCATGTAGTGTGCACACAACAGCAACTAAATGGAACCCCAGACTGTCATGTAGTGCGAGAAGAACAGCGATCCAACGATTTTGAAAATCATGTATGTGTTCCCATCGTATGTCAGTATCTCAACATATGCAAAATCCTTCTCAAATCACACATTTCAGCACCACGGACAGTAAAATTTTCTATGTGTGACGCAATGATTTCGCCAGTATGTATCTATAATCCATTTTCCTTCTTGCAAACAGCAGTTTGAGTAAGTAGTCATTCAACTTTGATGCATATATGAATGAATACTAAGACACTTTTTTTTCTTTCTCACACCAGCAAACACACTCTCAATCATATCACTTCAAAGATAATCTCAAGAGAGATTAACTATTTCATACGGTCTGCATAAGCAGTCATGAATACACAGGCGGAGTGTGTGCGGATATGCCTGTACGGGAAATGTTTCATATTGCTCTCTATTCCTGTCATTCCCTGGATGCTTAACTGTCTCACAGAATAATAATCACACTGACTTCTGTAATCCCTACTGTGCACAGAGGTTTCCCTGATATCCCCACTGTGCTGGGCTGCGTTGAGCTTTGCTGAGCTGAGCCAACCCCCGCCACACACATACACACACATCCTTGTCCTCACCCTGCCTGGATCACTGCTATTAACAATATGGGCCAAGTAATCCTAATTTGTACCTCTAAAGAAAGCTAATCCATTATACAGAAATAACTAATCTGTAAAGAGCAAACACCATTCTTAGGCTGGAAAATCCTGTTAGCGTCTGCTTGATTACCTTACCATTAGACTTCCCGTGCAAAGCGCTCTAAGTTCAGTCACATGGCTAACCTCATCAACCGGGCTAATGTCTGCAGCACTGTTGATTTCGGCTACAAATTGAGTTAATATTTCATTCTGACAGGGTCAGTTTTACTCCACGGGAGAACTAAAGCTAAATGTGTGTCTATAGTGAATAATTCACAGACTGTACCTGATAAGACTAAGTGTGGCCGTGTTTAATTATTAATGATCTTAATATTGCAAAAATGCACTGATCAATGCATTTCTACAGTGAGTGGCAGAAGTGCAAAGGAAAGGAAAGATGTGGGCTGAGTAGCATAGCATTACAGACAGCTCCAATCAGAGCAGCGCACATCTGACATGACGACAAGCGAAAAATGATGCAATACCAAGTTTGGAGTGTTTTCTTACAGATAGAACTAAATCAAAAGTAACTAAAAGGCTAAAAGCTCATTAACCGGGAAAACCTGCAAAATTTCAGGAACAAATATTCAAAATGAATAACTTTTTTTTGTGATTGCATGGGTTGTGTGACTTTCACTGCTCTGAGCTCCAACAGATGTGTTTTGGGGTTAATCTAAGATTAGTGCTCCTTGTTCAAACTCTCACCTTTAAAGGGAAGATCAGTGACAGTCTTAAAGGTAAAGTGACATATCAAATCTCTACATATTCTCTGATGTGACACCAAATCAAATCAAAAAGTCAAAGTTGAGATCAGACATAACGAATTTCACAAAGAACACAATATTGAAGAAATTGAATTGCAAATATGTCAAATCAGTTTTGATCCACACTGGGACAATTGTCTGACATATCATGCTACGAACAGTAGATGAGGACAGATGCTGGACAATTTAATCTTGTCAGTGTCTATCAACTTTACAAAAGAATAAACACAGGTCCAGGTGACTGATGATCACTTTTTGTGTCACAGTCAAGCTGTGTCCTTGGTGTATGTGTCCATCCCCTTGTGGGACTCTAAGCTAACAGCATCCTCCTTTCAGTGCCCAGGTGAGAGGGCTAACCTATCTGCATATTCATGACTGTGAAATGGACATGGTCTCCATAGAGACAACCCTGTCTCATACTCTGATGTGGACATGTACCACTGAGAAACTTTGACTCGACATTTTATATAATTAAGTCTATATACCAAGTCTGTATGAGTTCTACAGTCAAAACAAAGCCAAAAATAGAATGTATGTAACACAAACATATGCTTCATATTTTATCCACTAATGCTCCAAATAAAACTTTTTAACTGTTACCCATGCATTCATGAATCATAAACACTTCATTTCAGAATGCAAACTTTTATTGACTCAAAAAGCACCACTACAGTTTCTAGTCCTAAAACGTGGGATATTTTTCAATTTTGTTTTAGTTTTTTTATTCAAATCACAATAAAAGCTATCATCGGACATTGGAAGTGATTTGCTGGTGCTGATCTGCACTGAGAAAGCATTAACATGATGAAAAAACACCACATTCTCGACAATGAAGTCCTGGCAGGATTTTAAAATTAAAAACACTTCCCTTACTAGACCTTGGCACTAAAACAGATTGAGCAAAGCTCTAGCACTCACAGGCAGAAGACACTAAGCTATGTGGATTCAGCACCATGGCCAGCACCACAGAAAACTCTTTGACAAATTCACAGGACATGTCCAAAAGTCTGCTTATGCTACTTATCAATGGTTCGATAAATAATTAAAGATAGAAACAGACATACCATGTTGACCTCCGACACCATGTCTATGCTCGCCACATCGATGCTCATGCCTACTGCCACTGGTGCACCTTAAATGAGAAGAAAAACTTAATCCTCAAGTTCACCAAAACCATTTATTTATTTTATATCAATCTTTAAAACAATCTTTAAATACTTATGTGACATTAAAAGTAAGAAATAATGAAGTGAGCGACATCATACCTCCAAAGTCTGGTCGAAGACGAATGTCATACCCTTTCAAAAGCTTGTCTACTGTCTCTTTGACAAAAGACATGTTTCCTGGTTCATTGGCGCTGTAAAGAAACAATAAAGAAGGTTATTCCATCATATTAGAGCCCAGGAGGTCTATGCTCTCGCGCCATGGTCTCCACCAGCTCTTCTTACCTTTGAGCACAGCACATCACTGCCACAATTACCGGTAATGAAAGAACACCAAACAGCCTTCGTTTCTGTATTCCAAACATTCCTTATACTCTTTCAGACAAGGAATCGAGCGACAAAACTGACGTTGTATGATTTCCTTGCGTAGGGTAACACGTTACGTTATTCCATCAGTGGGTCTTTGCTAAACTCCAATTACTGTCAAACACGCGTAAACAAATCGCTGCGATCCGCGTTTTCGCTCTCTTGCGGAGACTGCGTTATTTGGTTAGGTGCTCGGTGAATACAATGCATTTTGCCCAAGACACTACCGGAGCTTGCAGCAGGGGAGTCTGTGTTTGGGGCACAGCCAGATCTCCATCCTTCGGTTTTGACGCTCGTAGCTGTGCTGTCCCGAATCTACACCCTCTGTTGAAGTCTCAGTCTTACGCCTCTTTTTTTGTTTCAGCAAAGCAAAGCAAGGAATACTTATTTTCCCACATATAGCCAACAAAGTACGCTTGTTATCAGATGTTCACTCGGGAAATTTCGGGTACTGATTTCGAAAATGATGACCGAGTCTACCGGAGTGTGATGAAATTGACATGCGAGCACGAGGACTTCTCTAAGTAAAGTGGTCACGTGACATTCCACAAGCTTCGGCGTGAAATCGGTTTTGCTGGTGTTTAGTGCGGAGTATAACTCTTTCATGTCAATTCAAACAAAAACGTAACTGTATATCGCAACAAAACACCGGTGTGTTGTTTCGTTGGGCTCGTTAACTAGTAGAAAAAGTGTATACACGCGAGTAAACGTTGAAGAGAACGACTGGAAAGGGTTCCCCCAACTCTTCGTTTATGGAGAACAATACAACGGTGAGTATTTTAGCTCGTGTATTCTTGCCGTTCCTGCTGGTGGGTGTAGCCTACATCACAAATCTTTGTGAGTGGAAAGCAACTTGGTTACAACAAATCCAAACCAAATCACAACTTCTTGCGTTGTAAATTCGTCCTTTGCTGTTCAAGTGCAGGAAATGTAATCAGGTTTGGGGGGTTTCTTACTGGAAGACACAGGAAGTCAAAACCAAAGAATGGTTGAGGAGGGCCATAAAACAATTGATTCGTTTTACATATAAGTAAAGTATATATTATATAGACATTTCATTTCATAAGTATTTTTCAACAAAATTACAATAGGTAATCACACCATTTCGATTACTACGAGAATGTGCAAAAATCGGGAAATCCGTAAAATTCGAGTTGGCCTAGCTTACCATAAACAGTTTGCTGGACTGGACTTTCAGTTTTCGGTATCGGGCATTATTTGCAAGAACTGGCATTATTCTTATATATATATTCTTATATCTCTTTCTTATAGATATAGACATACATATATTATTAAAAAATTGCATTTTTGTTTAAAATGCCTATGCTAAAATAAAAATAAATAAAAACTTTTAAAATGATACTGTCATAACTGTTAAAGGTGCAGTAAGCGATTTCTGGTAAACCCTGTTGATATTTAAAATCACCAAAACAAACACACCCCTATCTTGATGCCTCCAGTCTGCCCCCAGATTCACGTAAACGTACATATGCAACACAAGCAACGACTATGGCGTAAACGAAAAAACATATATTAGGAGAAAGTCATCTCACTTTTCTGACACACTTTGGGAGCTTTGGGATGCTTGGAACGGGCAGTGGAGAAGGTTTACACATTCCAAGCTTATAATAATAATAATAATAATAATAATGCAAATGTCCAATGTGGTCCGATCCACTTTCAACAGCGTTTTTCAACAATGGGTTACTGCACCTTTAAGTGGCGACTCAGCTCATTCCTTCCATTTGAGTGTTATGGACACTAGTTGGCTAATCTTTCTCTTTCTGAGAAGATCATTTCAGCTGCACATCAAGGTATGGTGGTGTCAAATGGCAGTGCGTTATAACTTTATTAGAACATTACATTTATAAGAACACCTTCTGTACTGTAGCCAACCTCTGCATGCAAGCATACACACTAATAGTGATAAACAGAACATCATGGCACAGAGTGGAAGGAGAAAAATGCTTCTGTATTGATACCTTCTGTGATAAAATCAATCTGATATATTACTTGTTCTCACTACCACTCCCCATCAATGGATATTAAGGCTCCTCCATTGAGCCTCTAGACAATTTTATTATACATAATCAGATTTTCAGTGAGACTTGACAGTCTGCTGGAGATTAAGCCGAAGTGTAATGGCTTCTTCCAAGCTTTAAAAACTCATTAAACTAATCCTGTTAATTTGACCTGTCTTAAAAAAAACTGGTCTGGATTGTTCTGACTGAAAGGTTGTTTAAGGGAGCTGTTGCTGGATTTGATATGGCCAATGGTCGAAGTTAGTGGCCTTCTTAAAATCCCCAAGCTACATTAAGACTGTAGTGTGCAGACTGATGCCGGGCTAATGCTTTTAGAAGCAGATGCCGGATGCAGAGGGATGTGGCTGTGCTTCCTGGTACTGTTTCAGAAGCTTCAGAGCCGAGGACTGAGTCTCCACCGAGATGCCCATTCTTCTTGAGCTCTCAAGTACAACTTTTTTTTTTGCTTGGCAACATTTAGTATTTGATCACCCGTCTGAAATAGTGTTAGGAGGACTATATTATTGATACATCACTCTTCATTTTTGAATTGTTAACAAAGATTAATCTGTTTTAGGACAGCTGGTCCTGGGTAGCCATTCCTTGAATTTATAATTTGAATGTAAGAAAAATAGAATTACATTAGAATTGACATTCTAAGAAATTAGTATAACAGTAATTTTTAACTAGGAAAGCAAAGATTATTAAGTTCTTGAATGTTATAGATTGAAATTTGTATTTTGTTTATTTCATCATATTTTATAAATGATAATGATAACCATTGATTGCAGTTCAATAAATTCCCTATCCTGTCATTCTATTTCAACTTTGTGTGTGGCCAATTCCAAACTCATGAATTGGCTGGGTGTAAATTCTTTAGGTCTGAAATTTGTTTCTGAAAACACTTCTTTGTACAGAACTAAAACTTAAAGTTTTAGACTTGTGCTCAGTAGGTGCCCTTGCCCCTTTTACTATCACGTTGGCATTAATAGAGTATAATGTGTTCAATATTCAATTCTAAGATGATTTCTTTTTGTAGTTTTACATGTGTAGCTGGAATGATTTCTATGCTTCTTGCAGCATAAACATTTATAAAGAGCAGCTACAATAAGGAGAGAGATAGAAAGCGAGGGTAGCTCTGAACAGCACTTACCCACACACACCCACATCCCATCATCCAAACAAAGCACTCCACTCACACATCATCTGCAAATGCAAAGGCTCCTCAGTGTGTGGGCTGAGCAAATGGCACCAAGTCACGGTCACACACCAAGCCAAATGCTGTTAATGCTGTAGATTGCCTTTAAAGTAACACTAGTCAAACAGGCTGTGGGAGGACTGAAACCTTTCACGATCCCTGCCTTTAAAATGACCAGTGTCCCCTGACCTCTCTAAATGTGAGGTAAAAGACCGCGTCCACAAGTTCACAAGGCACTTTGCTTTATTTCGCCCACTGAACTAACAAAGCAATTTTCTGATCTACTGTATATGGGTGAGGTAGTATCACTAGGAATAACTGGTTTCCACTGAAAGGGTTTTTCCTTCCATTCGTGTCAATTCGTAAATGAAAAAGCCCCCCCCCCCCCCCCCGCCCAGGACACACATAAATGGACACAGATAAATTGTTTCTCTGTATGGAGTGAATATTGCACTGTGCTGAATGAATAATGTATGTACGTGGCTGACATTGTCGGTCTGATTTGTTTTAGATTGAGACAGAACTCTGCAAAATCACTCGTAATACCCATTGAAAAATTCAGACCACTGCGATACTGCGAAACTCCGATCCTGAGGCGTTAACAACATGCCGTAGATAATAGGAAGAAAAAATATTTTTCAATGTTGTAAATAAAACAAAGATTATTGGAGTAAGTCTTACAAGAAAATACTATTTCAGTCTTTCTACTTTAAAATGTCATGTTTAATTCACTTTTTTTTTAACCATACAAATAAGTCACTTACCTTGTGTCATAGATTGCAAACAGCTTTTTATTCCCATCCACAGCATTCCTGCAAAACAGAAAGGGAGGTGATGTTATTCCCATCATTCAATGCCATGTTTCTATTTTTGAAATCAACACACTCTCTAAGTAATTGTGATGGTTCTGATTGTGTATAAAAGATAAGAATCCCAAAAACCATTACCAAATATATCACTTTTAACTCATAACATACTGTATTGTCTTGGGTTCAAACATAGGCTGCTCTTTTGTCTTTCTGGTGATCTTAGTTATTCAAGCTCCGTTTAACATGCACACATACACATGCTGATGCTCGCTGGACACAGGTGGACTGTAGAAGTAACAGCTGTGTGAAAATCTCTGGAGTGCACATCAATGGAGTCAATCAACAGTCAGACAAAAGTGCTTCAAAAATAAATCAATCCCCAAATCACATTACCAAATATCACATTATGCAGACGACAAACTGTCTTTACTATCTCCATGAACCTAGAAATAATCTCGCCCTATAAGGGATGCATGTTTTTTTTTTATAGCAGCGTGACCATTAAAGCCAACCCAAAGCAGATGTTTAATTTAATTTGATTCTCTTGCTGTAAATCAATGTACCTGCATACCCATGTGTGTGCATTTTTACTGGGAGACTTTAATACACATGCTTGTTTTATTTTTGAAGTTATAATCTCAATACATTTGTAGTATTTTGCATGATCACTAGAATAGTGGTGTAATAGCAATGATTTTGTTGTGTATGTGTAGTGTATGACATTGGAGACATTTCCCAGTTGTCATGTCACCCCAAATCAGCATAAAATGTGTCATTATAAAATAACCTAGTTCATTAAGTTCTTCACCTATGCACAACATGAAATTGGAGCAGGTAGAGCCTTTTAAGGATTTCATTTATCGACTGAGGCACTGCAGTGATAGTCGGCATCAGAGAAAAAAAATGGGATTAGAGTTCCCTCTGATGGCTGTCCTCATTACTACTCCATTCTGTTTCATATAAAACAATACTTGCTCTCAAACCATTTTTATATCTAGTCCTATCAAATCAATATTGTATCTTTGACTGATACCTTGATATATTTATATACCTATACTTCGTATATATTTTAAACTATTTATACAAAGGACTATTCTATAATTTACAACTCGTTATAATTGGGCAAACTGATACTTTTAAACCATGATTATCCTCAGTGGAGATATAATGATCCGCATGTAGAGGCAGCCAGTCTTCATTAAACAGCCTGGCGCATGGGGAGCTGCCTAGAGCTAAACGCTCGCGCGTAAAATGCATAGTAAGCAGAATTGTTGGGAAATCCACTCATTTTCTGGCGTCCGCGTTTGTACCGCGCGCAGGGGACGGGGGTAATCGCGCTTTTCTCTGAATAAGCTCAAACAAGATAAGTTTCAAAACCCAACGGCCGCTTAAATTTCCCTCGGGGGGTAATTATGCCGCGCGAGCGGAGGTGACGTCCTATTACTTTGGTCCCAAATACGAACAAATGCCTCTAGAGTGGCAGTTGGGCTAGAGTAAGGAGAGCAACGGACGTTCAAACCGCCGACCCGGTAAGCGGAGAATCCTGTTAAACTCTGTAACGCTTGAACGGTTGCGCAGATAAGCGTTGAGATGTCGAGCTAGGCTACCACAGAGGAAAGAAGGGGGGAAAGTAATGGTCTGTTAAAGGGAATTTGTTGACTAGAGGGAGAATAGGGGAAGAGAGAAAACAAAGACTATTTTAAGGGCTGCCTGGTTACTGTCTTTCAATTGGATTTAGGAGTGATGAAGGGGTCTTTGGGATGCGGTGGAAAGGAAGGGATGTTCTGCAGCGGCTGTTCAGTCACTGAATCGTAAAAGAGGACAGAACAATGAGCCTGTATGGTTAAGACTGGATATATCTGAAGAACAACGCATCTACTACTGCTGTAAGCTGAACGTTGCGGGATTTTGCTCACTGCTTCAAAAGGAATTCATTGCATTTGTTTTTTTTTTTCAACGTGGATCCACTGCACCATTCAGGTATTTAAGGTAAGATGCGAGGCTTTTACTGTACACGATCTCTGCTCAACTCTGCTTTGTAGGATTCACTGTAAATGTTCGACAAGTTTATTCGCCAGAGGCTGTTAAAACTAAGCATTACAGCTGCTGCAAACTCAGCGCTCCTGTTACTGCTTTTTCAAACGGTCATGTTGAAGAAATGTTGCAAACTGGCATTCAAGGGAAATGTACAACACATTTGTTTGACATAGAAAAGATTCTTAAAATTTGATTTAAAAAATAAAATAATAAAAATAATATATTTAAAAAAATAAATTAAGGCATTTAATTATAATTACCAATTTTTATTATGATTATTATTAAAGTAATAATGAAAAGGTGTCCTAATTTTAACTGTATAACTTAGCTGACCAAAACTGTTTGTTTAACACTTGGTAAATTATATTGTTTTTAAGTTGACTGATCATCCTGTTTTAGGGATTTCGTATACACCTCTATTTCTAACTTCTTCTCAATTTATTTTCAATTAAAGTGAGCATAAGTCATGGAGTTTCATGGAGAATGATAAGATTATCATGCTGGTATGAATGACTCCATATGCTGGACTCTTTGCAGGTATGGGATATGGACCACACTGCAGCGCCAAAATGAGAAGTCTGTGGGTCGGTGTTTTGTTCATGACTTTCACCTGCCATCTGAGGTAGATTACGTTTAATGTAACTTTCTATTTCTCGTTGACTTCATATTATTTTCTAGTTAATTGCAAGAGTCAATTAATGTAAAATGCATATATGTCTATTGATTCTATTGATATCTTAAGAATGCACATTTTCCAGACAATTTTATAATCATTGTGGTCACCTAATGGATAGGAACTAATACTCGTAGCTATTAATTATCTGTATGGTGTTGTGCATCAGCCTCTCCCAGTCTACTACAGGGACTCCTAAAGAGTCAGAGCTCAATGATAACATCACAGTATTTACACGAATCCTGGATGGATTGCTGGATGGCTACGATAACAGACTGCGACCAGGGCTTGGAGGTAAACTCTGCCTAGATACCATGCCTAGATACTTCAAAAACATCATCTGTAGCAAGATTGTGATTTAGCGAGAGGCGTTTTTTTCTTTCTTTCTTTTTTTTGTATATTAGGGCAATTTATGTCTGGCATTGACCTCTGGTAGTTATATTGAAAAGATGTCTTCAGATAAAGGCAGATGGTTAAACAGAAAGAACGCCTGCACATTCCATCGTGACCAGCATAAAGGACTTTCAAAAGAAAAGAAAAAAAGAGAGAGAGAGATGCTGCTTCTATTCAATCCACTAACTGGGAGGAAAAGTACACAAAAAAAGAAAAAAATCTGTTTTCATACAGGAGATGTTTGCACAGAGTAGAAGTGATCACGGAAATTGCCTGGTTCTCTGTGAAAATCAAACAGCCACTATTTCCCGGCACTCGCAATTACAGTGTTCTTGCAAGAGACAGAGAGAGAGAGGGTGGGCGAGAGAGAAGGGATATTAATGTGGCTGCTGACCTTGAGGAAGCTATCGTTCTTTTCAAAAGGTGGAGGTTTATTGTTCTCAGAGGTCAAAATCATGCCGTTGTGGCAGAGAAAGAGAATAAACACTGGCTGCACCTGTTTCCATGTGAGAACTGCGCATCAGCAACATGATGTCAATTTGGACATGATTTTGTACTTTGAGAAGGGAAGTGCAGTCAGGAGCCTGGAATTAATTGCTTTTCATTTAAAATGAATGCAACTAAAAGAAATACTGTACCAATACAAATAGCGAATCAAAGCGTACTTTAATGGAAATTCTGCATATATTTTATATTCTATTTATTTATTTTGGCCTAGTATACACTATTTACTTATATATTTATACTTGATTGAAAATTCTGCAAATTTTGTATACATTCGCTCTCTCTCTCTGTGTGTATATATATATATATATATTAGTAAATGAATATATAGAAAGTATGTATAGTATAAAATATGTAGAACTTCCATTATAGTACAAATATATAACATCCAAAATTAAACGTAATTGAATAAATCACTATTTGTTTGTGGCTTTACAGAGAAAGTGACCGAAATTAAGACCAACATCTTTGTCACCAGCTTTGGGCCAGTTTCAGATACTGAGATGGTGAGTATTTAAACCATATCCTTTCTTCATGAAGAAACACCATTCATTCACCTCTACAGCTGGAAATTCCCAACTGAGATCACTCTTCATCAAGACACCCTTCATTAAAACCTGCCTCACTCTGTAACATTACTTCACCTCTGCAACATTTCCTGAAATTCTGCATGCAATATCTTAGGTAGGTCACAGTATGATTTGTTGAATGCAACTATTGTTCATTTTAATATTCAGTCATGTGACACATTTGATTTTGCCTTCAGGCAAGGTCATCGCTGTAATTCATGGGCCCTGGAGAAAAAGTTTATGGGGAGGCCTTAGTGTGCCCCTCCTCCTCATCACAGGGCCTGGGGTTCCTCACGACGACCCTGCCTTCTGGTGCACACTAAATGAACATTTTCCTTTGAACAGGAATACACCATTGATGTGTTTTTCCGTCAAAGCTGGAAAGATGAGCGTTTGTGTTTCAAAGGGCCAATGGAGATGCTACCTCTGAATAACCTGCTGGCCAGCAACATCTGGACACCTGACACCTTTTTCCTTAATGGCAAAAAATCCATTGCTCACAACATGACAACGCCCAACAAGCTTCTGAGACTGAAGGATGATGGGACATTGCTGTACACCATGAGGTACCAGTTTAAGCTACAATGCCTTGTCATTTCACAGTATGAAATGCTGTCTGCATGAATGGATTGGAGTATGGGTAGTACAGCCATACATTTGATCCTCATCTCATTTATGGCCTCCTCACCTCTGTTTTGCACTGCTGAACCCTCTGCCATGTGACAGATGTGTTAAGCACATATGAACTCGGCTCCTGCTGAACTCAGCATCTCTGTTCCACATCGTACAATCTCAGTGGGAATGTTCAGCTTGCCCCTGCTAAAGCTTTTTCTCTATACTTTTCTTTTTCTTTTTTGATGTTGTCTTCTCACAAGAGGACACATGAGTTTATCTTTGTTGTTTTCATTAGTGGTTCCCCATGCTTTAGATTCCTCATACTTATTTGTTCTCTTTATATTTCACTGACAAAATTCTTCCTGCTCTGTTTATGCTATAGACTTGAACGATACTTCAAATCATCCTGCTTATTGAGGAGAGGTGTGCTATTATTTCTTTAACGACCACAGTGATTTTCCCAACAGACAAAGAATTTACATAGCCTTACATTGAAAAGGGATCAGAAGTATCCTCTCTCGGGTTCTAGAAGCTTTGAGGTGGGCTCTTTTGATTTGGGGCCTGAGGCCATGTGTGGGTCTTTCAGGTCCCTGCAGGGTTCAACAGTAACATTGTTGGTTTATTTATGCCCTGCCAACATTTTCACAGGCCTTAACACAAAAAAGTACAAATTATTTGTTATAATGTATATTTATAATTTAAATAATTACTTTTTCTATGCATTATTCAATATTTATTATTAAACATATTATGTTACTTTAAACAAATTATTTTTTAAATAGAACTTTAAGCTTTATTTACCCAAACAAGGCTGAAAATTATTCACTTTTACTGGAAAATGATGGAATGCAGTACACTGCAAAATCTTGAAAAAAAATCCTGATTGTTTGACATCTATTATTACTGATGCTACCAAGACTAATCACACTGACTAATCATTCTTGCACTTTTGACTAAACCACTAAACCTCATATATGTTAGCCAGTTAGATTCGCAATCTTAAAAAATATTTTGACTTTGGTTTTTGTACTGATGCCCCAAATGCTCTATTTGGGGACACTGCAATAACATAGAGGCAGATAAAAAAAATTGTTGAAACTCCACACACACACACTGTATCTAGTTTTTTTTTTCTCTTTGTACCCTAGACCAGTCACCCAAGGGTGTTCCAACCTAACTGTGTACAAGAGAAAAGAAAGTAAAAGGGGGTGAGACAAAATAAGAGATTGAAACAAAGGAAAAAGAGAAAGTTGGCTCTATGTTTTATGCCCCTGTTGTTGAGTTGTTCTTCACAGACTGTCTGCTCCATTACTCGCAATACCAGGGCAGAGGGAGAGAACACACACACACACACACACACACAGTTTCTGCTCTCCCAGCTATCATCAGCAACAATCTACTGCCAAGTGCCGTGCACTGCTGTGTTAGTGCTGTTGTATAAAAGCCGCTATTGTTGTTCTCGAAATGGCATCAATACTAAATCCTCTCTATAGTAGAACCTGCTTGTTTAAGTGCTGAATTTTGAGGCGCACAATCGTAATAGTGTTTGGATTATGGTGGTTATGTATTAGTTATTTTTATTCTCTGAGGTTACAGTTATGATCCATTATATAATGAGTTATTAGCTTTTATTAACTCAAATTCAAATGCAATGGGGAATTTGGTGAGTTTTCCATAGAGGTAACATTTAGATTTCATAGAGTGGGTCTAAAAGCAATATAAAATAAATGGAAAAGGCAAAGAACATGGATCATTTCATTTACACAAAACACATTCCTTGCTCATTTGCAAAGCTTTGCTGTTTTTTTTTTTTTTTAATTATTGCGTTGTATATTGTGAGACCAAACACATATTACAAAATTGTTCAATTGATAAAGCCTTAAGGTGATGATACACAGGGCAACTTTTTGGGCAATGTTGCTGGGCAATGTTTCCCTCAACGGGCAACCAGATGAGACACAGTGCCCAAGACCGATATAAATTATCCATTTATACATTTATTGCCCATTTTCAATGGGAAAGTGCCCAAGCAACAATCACTCGGCAAGATTGCCCAGCAACATTGCTCAAAAAGTTGCCCTGTGTATCATCATCTTTTAGATAGAGCTGTTTTTTTAGACTGTAGATTGAACAAGATCATCAATCAAACATTAATGACTCTGAGAGGAAATGACTTGGAGCATGTCATTTAGAAATCAATGGTGGAGCTATTGTAGCTTGCCTACAATAAACTCTGCCCAGTGTTGCATTTCCTAACAGTGAAAACCATTAAAAGGGCTTTTTACCACTCACTAATGCGCACATTGTTTCCGGAAAAGTGATCAGCAGTAAGGTTTTTTCTTTTCTTGCTGAGATGGAAAGGAGCACCTTAGCTGCCATGAAAAAGCAGGGCAAAACAGTTTCACCACCCACATTCTAAAAGTGGAACGCAGTCTACAGGCTTTTATTAGAGTTAAAAAGGAGGTTACGAGACCGAACAAAATGGAGATGTTCTAGATACTGTCAAATCTTCTGAAGGATCTGCCATGTTTTTAAAATAACTTTTTTAGCTTGAGGTTGATGTTGAGAAAAATGGTGCAGTAGGCAAACATGCATTGTAAAAATTGCAAATATATATATATAAATGAATTAAATGTACAAAAAAAATGTGTTAATAAAATAACAGGGTTTTATAAATAAAAACAACAGTGTCATAACCAACATAGACATTGAGGGGGACACATCCGCTTCAATATTCAGATTAATGGTAAACCAATATGAGTTTTTCAATAAGCAATAGTTAAAATTTTACCTTTGACCCCCATTAAAATCTGTTTATATTCTTGTGTATTTAAATAGCTGTTATACCACTTGATAATGACACATATACACTCACCGGCCACTTTATTAGGTACACCTGTTCAACTGCTCGTTAACACTTAATTTCTAAGCAGCCAATCACATGGTGGCAACTCAGTGCATTTAGGCATGTAGACATGGTCAAGACAATCTCCTGCAGTTCAAACCGAGCATCAGTATGGGGAAGAAAGTTGATTTGAGTGACTTTGAACGTGGCATGATTGTTGGTGCCAGAAGGGCTGGTCTGAGTATTTCAGAAACTGCTAATCTACTGGGATTTTCACGCACAACCATCTCTAGGGTTTACAGAGAATGGTCCGAAAAAGAAAAAACATCCAGTGAGCGGCAGTTCTGTGGGCGGAAATGCCTTGTTGATGCCAGAGGTCAGAGGAGAATGGCCAGACTGGTTCGAGCTGATAGAAGGGCAACAGTGACTGAAATAACCACTCGTTACAACCGAGGTATGCAGCAAAGCATTTGTGAAGCCACAACACGCACAACCTTGAGGCGGATGGGCTACAACAGCAGAAGACTCCACCGGGTACCACTCATCTCCACTACAAATAGGAAAAAGAGGCTACAATTTGCAAGAGCTCACCAAAATTGAACAGTTGAAGACTGGAAAAATGTTGCCTGGTCTGATGAGTCTCGATTTCTGTTGAGACATTCAGATGTTAGAGTCAGAATTTGGCGTAAACAGAATGAGAACATGGAACCATCATGCCTTGTTACCACTGTGCAGGCTGGTGGTGGTGGTGTAATGGTGTGGGGGATGTTTTCCTGGCACACTTTAGGCCCCTTAGTGCCAATTGGGCATTGTTTAAATGCCACGGCCTACCTGAGCATTGTTTCTGACCATGTCCATCCCTTTATGGCCACCATGTACCCATCCTCTGATGGCTACTTCCACCATGTCACAAAGCTCTAATCATTTCAAATTGGTTTCTTAAACATGACAATGAGTTCACTGTACTAAAATGGCCTCCACAGTCACCAGATCTCAACCCAATAGAGCATCTTTGGGATGTGGTGGAACGGGAGATTCGCATCATGGATGTGCAGCCGACAAATCTGCGGCAACTGTGTGATGCCATCATGTCAATATGGACCAAAGTCCCTGAGGAATGCTTCCAGCACCTTGTTGAATCTATGCCACGAAGAATTGAGGCAGTTCTGAAGGCAAAAGGGGGTCCAACCCGTTACTAGCATGGGGTACCTAATAAAGTGGCCGGTGAGTGTATATCTGATTCTTCATGTTTTTTAATCAACTCTTGACTGTGAATGTGCTAATTAATACAAAGTCCTGTAGTGATTTGATATGTTGCATAATTTGGGATGCACCGATACCACTTTTTCCAGAAGGAGTCCGATACCGATACTTTTATTTTTAGTACTTGCTGATACCCAGATACCGATACCTGTATTTTCATTGCATTTTTAATTTTTAAAAATATTGGGCAGACAAACCAAAAGAATATTAATCAAATTATTAATGCCTAATTATGCCTGTTAAAATGTATTGTAGGAGCTACTGTTACTTTCACTGTTCATATTATGGCCAGATTTACTATACAGGTCAATTTAGCGTAAGAGCGCAATTCCAAAAAAGCGCCGATGGGAATGGAAAGTTTTGCGCGTGATCTACTGACGACGCGCAAATTAAAGAACACAGACGCAGCCGGATCAATCCCATAATGACCAACACAAACTACCAGTTAGCGCTGGTTTAAGACGTGCTTTTTTGGGGCAGTAAATAATGGCGCAAACACCAGTAAATTGACGAGCGCAAACCTTAGTAAATCACCTTGCGTGATTCATTTAAATACTCTCCTCCCATACATTTTGGATCTGAAAGGGCAAATGCATATGCAATAAGGTCAGCTGCAAAAATAACTCTGTCCATGCCTTGTCAGCGCTAATTTTTCACTGCGTGTCTTTAGTAAATCCTGACAGTTTTTTAACGACAAAAAGAGGTTTTGCAATGGTTAGTAAATCTGGCCCTTATGTTTAATTTAATAGCACAGTGAATATTTTGAGCTGCTCCAGCAGGGCTCAACCAGTCAAGAGCAGTGAGTGATCTTCTCTGTCTTTTGTTGTTAGAATAAAATTGAGG